GTTAAATGCAGATTTGATGCAATGGGCCTAGGGAGAGCCTGAGACTCTGAATTCATAACATGCTCTGAGGTTACTGGTCTCTGGACTCCACTTTTGAGTCACAAGACACAAATATACATGATCTCATTAATTTCCCCTGTGCAGCCATTAAAGTAGCCATCATCAGCCCTATTTCACTGACAAAGAAGTACCTTATGTAGAGTTGCTTTCATAAAAAATAGCAAAATACTCTTGAGTATTTCAAAATACTTAATGTCCCCTTCAGTTCTAAAATATTCTGGTTAATAAGGGAAAAGAAAAAAATATGAGAAAATGAAAAAATGGAAATAAAATGTTTCTAAATGGGGAGCGGAGGAGGGGTGAAGGGAGGACAGGGACAAGGGGAAAAATGAAAACCAAGACCTGTCATATAAAGGCACAAGATCCCAATGATGAATGTAACTGTACTGTATACCTAAAATGTACCAATAAACTCAATAAAAAAAATAAAATAAAATATTCTGGTTAGAAATTATTGCGATACTCACTGATAAATTGTTAACAGAGATGATAAGGATGAGGGATCTCTTTACACAGAGAGCGGGGCTGGGAATTGAGGCATCATAGAGATGGCATCAGCCTTGAAAGGTAGTCAGGCTGAAGAGAAGCAGAGATGGACAGAACATAAAGCAACAGTTCTGCCCAGTATACAGTTCCATGATCAGAACCTGAGCCAGCAGAGATAAAAACTGAGAAGGGGCCCAGGATAACAGGTCAAGTCCTGGGAAACTGCACTTCTTTGGTTTATCCTATTACTCCCATTATTCATTAAGTACTTTCTTATGATCTGTATTACTGCCTTATTTTAGGAAGTGCATGCCGGTCTCCTCTTTGTAGTGAGCTTCTTCTCCTAAGTAGACCTCCTGGGAGAAGCCTTTAGCGCCCTTGCCCTCCTGCCCCACATGCATCTGCAGAGCTATTCTATAAAATGCCAGCTGTATGGTTTGTGCCCACAGGAACAATGAGGTTAATTCTCTCCTTTTGAAACTGTGACTCCCACCCTCCCCCAATTCCTCTAAGTGTTTCCTTTTAAAGAAAAGCCATGGTTCACTGCTAGTAAAAATTAAAGACAACAGCATAAAGATCAAGGTTCAGGCTGCTGCTAGGGATGACAGACCATTAAAATCACCACTCAAGTTTCTTTTTCCTTGAACATCGACAAAGACTATTCATGGAATCCAGTCTTCAGAATGCAGGATCATTTCAGACTTCTTACACTCACTTCTCACCACTCAATATTTTGAATAAAATGAATAAACTGGAGGTGGTGCTCAATTGAGTTGAAACAGTGAAAGTAATGACATACCCTTCAATACTGGATGTGATCTTCCTGCCCTACCCCATATCACAACATGGAGGACTAAAAAATACAAGGGGGTTTACTAGGAAAGATTAATTTATAAAGTTTAGGAAAGAAGGCATTAATGCCCCCTCCTCTTCCAAGGTTTACTTCTAGCCTCTCAAACTCCACCAAACTAGATTCATGAGCTTTTCTCTTCTTCCTTCCCTTGGTTCCTGATTGTGTTGTGGCAAGAAGTCTCATGCCTCATGTACATCCCAGACTTCCCTCTCATTCCCTGAATTCACATTTCAGTGATTCTTATCCTTTCTGATACCAGTTTGGAGACCTGGCTGATGTTCCCAATCATATATTGGCACGATGGTTTGAAATATATTCTTGATGCTCAACTTTGAAAATTGCTGCTGTAGCAGTTCGAGAAGATGGGCTCAAGCTCCTTCTTTATAAAAATATACACAAGGTCAAGGATGTTTCCAAAGCATGTGGAGTATTTTCATCAGATAACCAACACTGAACAAGGAGACTGCCAACAAAAATCTGCAGTTAGACTAGAAGAAGAGATTGAGCAAATGTACGCATTAGCCATGATATAACCTGATATTCTCCCAAGACAGGTAAAGAGATATATGAGAGATATGAGAGAGCAGGCAGAAAAAAAGAGAGAAATTTAGGTGAGCCCTTCTCTCTCTCTCTCTCTCTCTCTCTCTCTCTCTCTTATTCCTTTTGAGTATGTTGGACACTTAGAGGCATGAAATTAAAACTCGTGAAAAACAGCCATATCAACTTGCTATGGTGACTCAAAATTTGTCGTTTCTCGAGTCAACTTTGCTGAAACACTTGATTCATGTTGTTCTTATTTAACCTAATTTGCATTGATTTAATCAGTGCTGGTATGCTTTAAATACATAATAAATTGGGATTCTGCAACTTAGATGACTTAGAATAGCTAAATTTCAATAAAGCTCATTTCAATCTGTTAATGTACATGTTTCTGCCAAGGGGTTTGAAACTGTAGAAAAGATGCAACTTGCCACATTAGAGGTGAGAAAGGTTTAAAGACACCACACAGATGAAATGATCTGCAGGAAAATAATGTATAATATATATATTACAGCCTAGAAGCATCATCTAAGTTTTGAGTAGCACAGTTAGAGGAAGACTCACATATAATGCAGTGAATTTAATTTTATTCTCTTTCTTTCTTGCCAACATGAAACTCTTTTCTGTCTCTCTGTACCAGCTCTAAAAATCAAGTGACATCCAAAGTGGGACCTCTTCTTGCCATTTGGCAGCCTCTATCACCACTTTGCCAAGCTGCATGAATTAGGAGGATTTTCTTCCTAGCAGCCATGGGGATTGGGTGGCTGGTAGTCACAGCACTTACTCAGTGGCTGGTGGCTCTTTACCCCTGTCTGTAGCTGCCCAGCCCTCTGCCCCAACCCTTTTGAGTTTATGGCTCAATCAGCCAGCCTGCTGTCAGGAATAATTGTTTTGGCAAGAGGTGAATCCATTTTATGGTCAAATTGTTTGTCTGTCTGTTAAAGTGTTCTGCAGCACCTCAAAAGTGCCAGGACAAAACTTGCAAGTCCCCAGTGCAGAGCTAGGTGGGAAGCATGAGTGAGGAGAGACAACCAAACTGAAGAGGAGAGCCAAAAGACCATCTGTGCCAGTAACAAGCTGTATGACTCTAGATGATCCCCTGTATGTGTCTCAGTCACATACAGAATAACACATACAGAAAGCAGGGGGTTGATTTTCCAATATCTCTTGTCACTTGTAAGACAGCATGTGATGTAGACATTTCAGATTTGTGTTCAATTAAATGATACATCTCAGAGATGACTGACCAGGACAGAACTCAGATGGAATGGTTCATGTCCTGTTCATATGACTTTTCCTGAAAAATACCATTTGTCTTTGATGTCTTTATTTCCATGGGTTGGTCTCTCCAGCTTGGGTGTTAAGGATGACTCCAGTCATTTGCTCACTGCATTCAGTGTAGGAGCTCTGCTAAACCCCCTAATTCCTATCGAAGTGTGTACTGTGATTAACAATGACCCCTTATACTGAATTTTCTGGAGGAAGAAATGATAGGAATTCAGAGAGGAGCTAGAGACTCACATTCAGTTCTTCTTTCTAGTTTCTTGGCCATCCTGGTCAAGTAGGCAGGCTTGTCCATATCCTCTTTCTTCAGGCTTACTCAGCCATCTTTGAGGATCTTACTTTTTTGTAACAGATGAGCAACAACAAATAGGTCCCTGATAGTGTAACCCAACCATACTAGTTGGAACAGATGGGGGGGGTGAGAGATTACGCACCGTGAGGACTCATGTCCACACATGACTGTGAGAGGAAATAATTAGGCAAAGGCTTCTCCTCATAGTTAGAAGAAGCACAGTTTAGTGAAGCTTCAGCTCTCCATTGGGGTGAGTGGACAGAAAAAGGAAGGCTCCACCATGGTTTAAAGCGCCCCTGCCCCACACCTACTTCTAGGACGATGTGTACCCCAGGACTAATAATAAGGATAGGCAGCACACGTCAGGCTTCACCCTCTCGGCATCATCGAGCAGAATTTTTATCCATCTGCATGGACCCCACAGATTTCTGTGTAGCCTGGTGAAGCCCCCACGCGATCTCCGGCAAATCTCCCCGAACGCACACTCACTTGTTTCTGTCACACTGGATCTTACATTACTGGGCCTGGGCTGGCTTCCCAAACTGGGTGGGTTTGGAAGCATTCCCCCATCCACCACTAAAAAAGGGCTGGCTCACTGCAGAACTCCAGTGCTTGCAAGGGGAGCGGGGCGGGGGTGATCATAGTCAAGACCCAAATCATTGCCTTCCTGTGTCCTCTCTCAAGTTGCTTTTGCAAGTAAAGCAAAGGACCAAATGTTGATTTCCCTACAGATTCCTACGTATCTCTTACACGTAGACAGCTTTAAAGGGGGGGGGGTATTCCCGAAAGGGAAGGGGGACAGCAGAGAATATTTCAGTTTCCCACTTGGAAATATCTTGTCATTGATGATGCTACCCCTACCTCACCCACCCCCTCCCTCCATTTTAAAAAAAATATGGACAAAAAAGCCGAAAGTGTTTTCCATTTCATCAAAGACATACATTACTTTAGCGGTTCGGTAAAATGTTGGTTTTATGCCCACCCCTTTTCAATCTGCCCATGTCTGAGGTGCTCGGGAAGACGCACGATCGTGAGCAGCTTACGACACTCAGTGAGCAGTAGGTGCCGGTACAGCCTCGCGCCGCACACTGCCTGGCGGAAGGAAGGAGCCGGGGCGCTGCTCGCCGCTCCCCACGCCGCCCGCAAGG